TGAAAGAAAAAAATAAAAACTTATCTTTATTTCATTTCTGTTTTGAAAGTGTTAATTAATTTTTGTTGATAAAACTTGTAAATAATGAAACGGTGAATTATAAAAAAAAATAATATTCAGTTTTTATCATGTTTTTAATTACAATAAAAATTCTATCAATATGTGGTTTTGACCAATAAAAATTGGCTAACACACCGATAGAATATAACAATTTTTAACATTTTTGGTACTAAAACCCACATTGATAATGTAAATAAAATAAATTGAATTTTATATTATATTAAAAAGAGTTAAGACTTGGTAATGAAAAATAAAAAAAATCAACAAACAACAATTAAGTCAAAAAAGACAACAAAAGAAAGGCAGAAAATGTTAAAAAATTTAAATATAAATTATATTTATAAAATACGATACATTAAACAATAGACAACTGTAATTAATTTAAAAATAACAATTGACAATATTAACCAATCTTGTATTAAAAAAGAACTTAACCCAACTAAAACAGCTATTGGACTATATTATATTATACTTTACTATATAATACTATAAAAAGGATAAACAACCCAATTATTGATAATGTTGTCTTTAAAGTGAAGGCAACAAATTGCAACAAACAAATTGTGAGGAATACTTTAACAATATAATAATCAACCAATTCTTTGCAGAGTTCAAGAGTAAGTAAAAAGGAAATCTCAAACAATAAAAACAATGAAATAACTGCAAACATCATGCTAAATAAGAATAAAACACTGTTATCTACAATAACAACAAACATTAAAGTTGATCAGTTGTATGAATACATCAACTTTCACACACTGATTAAAAGAGCAAATTTGAAGAATGAACATCTACATTTACAAATCAACTATGGAGTCAGTCGAGAAAGCGCTTGAAAAAGCCAAATTGGACAAAAAAAGCATTGACAATGTTGTGTTGATTAGTGGATCAACTCGTATTCCAAAGGTTGTGCAAATACTACAAGACTTTTTCCAATGTGAAGGAGATCAACAAGAGTATCAATCCAGATAAAGCTGTTGCTTGTGGTGCTGTTGTGCAGGTTGCCATTTTGACTGGAAATGTGGAAAGGCAACAAGAGATGTGTTGTTTCTTATTGTAGAAATTGACACATGGGATAGAGACAGCTTGCGGTGTGATAAAAGAATTTATCCCACGAAACTCAACAATTCCAGCAAAGAAGTCACAAATATTCTCGATATATGCAGACGTCCATCAAGGCATGCTCATCCAAGTCTTTGAGGAAAAAACATTCACGGCATCACATTGCAACCTGCTTGGCAAGTTTTAGTTGTTTGGCATTTCACCAGCACGTGAAGTTTTCACAAGATGAAGTCACATTCGACTAAAATGCAAATGGGTGTTCGAATGTGTCGGCTAAAGACAAGACAAAATGAAAGAAAAAAATCATGATCACAAACGACAAGGGCAGACTTTCAAAGGAACCAATCAACAAGATAATTGGACATAGAGAGAAGTTAAAAACGAGAACGAGAATGGGATGACTTTTTGAGGCTTAAAATGGGTATGAACCTTCTGCTACCGTGTTATACCACACTGAATAAACATTTTGTTCAAATGTTATCAACAGAAGACAATGCAACAATCAAGGTTGATGTCAAAAACGTACTTGAGTTGTAGGTTGACAAGAACCAATCGGCATCAAAGGATGAATATACACAGAAACAAAAAAACAGAAACTGAGATCCGTCCCATTCACTAAAATGTATCAACAAAATGTAGCAGCTGGTAACATGCCGGGAGGTTCCCCACAGGGTCGTACGACTGGTGCACAACAACAGGGCGCAAACAAAAAAAGAATTAAAGTCGATGTTTTATCATAATGATTGTGACTTGTACATTATTTTCCTGACAATTGAGAATAATTATAACTTAAGCACTTTTTAAACGATATTAAAATAAAAACTATAAAATAACAACTATAAAAAATGTAATAAAAACAGTGAATTATTTCACAAAGATAAAGTTCAATTACAAAGACACAACTCTTATTGATTATTCAATACAATTATTTTAACAATATCAATAGACTTCATGACAATATGACAACTTTATCATAATGATTTTAACAAAAAATAATGTTAAACCAATCACCGAAATAATGTTTCAATTTCGAAAACAAATGACAAAACAAAATAATTAAACCATTAAAGGAGAAAGACAGAAAAGTGTTATGATTATGACGACCAAATAAAAAGCAACCCACCCGAGGATTCTAATTGTTTTGTTAGTTGATTTTCTGGACAATACAAAAGCCACAATCCAGAAAATGAATATTAAAAATCCTCATGCAAGGAATACATAAAAAAGTTTGTTGTTATGTTCTTCGTTTAAAGTGTTGTATTTAGCAATTCCATTTGTATTTGGTTGCATAAAAAGTGGTTCACTCTGTGTTGATTGGACATATTGTTGTTGGCACACCTGTTGTTGAGCTTGTTGATACATTTGTTGTGGATATTGTTGACCAGTTTGATAGTCTTTATGCATCGGGTCGACTTGTGGCACTTGAACCACCATAGGTGGTGGAACTAAAATCTGAGGAATTTTATAAACAACTTGTGTGGTCATGTTGTGTGTTAGATTAACAAGATTTGTTGCGTTTTTAAATACTTATAATACAAGAAGATGAATGGATGAAGAATTAATTTTGAATTATATGTCAATAAATAAATCATGTTTTTGGTATTATAACATAATTGTAAAATATAATTGTTATTATATGTTACATTTAAATTAATATAAAGTTATTCCGAACAAGTGTGCAACTTTATTTTTTCTTTGTTTTTTACTTACAACAAAGGTGAAACTCTATTTTTCAACAATAACAAAAACAATAACAAAAAGTGGAATTGGGTTATAAATCAACATAAAATATAACTCAAAATTTAAATGATAAGTTCAACTGCTTGTTTCAATAAAAAGCATTAAAATTCCAGATTTCCAATTGTCATACAAAACGAATAAAACAGCGTTGTGTATCGATTGTGGATGGAACAAATGTTAAACATCTCGTTTATAAAAAGAAAATAACGAGACAAGCCAATTCGTGTGATTTAAAGACTCTTTCGCTGCAAAATTTCGATAAACACGAGATTGTTGAATGGTGCAACCCAAAAAAAAAACTAATTGAGAAAAATCGTGCAATTTTAGTTATAGTTTAGTTATAGTATATTAATTAGAGTAATAGTTTTAAAAAAAATATGTTAGTGTTTTCTTGTTTTGTTTTATAAATACATATAATTTTTTTACTATAATTATACTATAAACAAAGTTGCACTGACACGTCAAAGTTGCACCGTTTAAAGAATGACTTCATATGAATCTTTTAAAAAATAATTAATAAAATGCATTTGAGTATAAATAAACAGTATTGTAAAAAACAATTTGGTTTGTTAATTAACTTACATTTACAGTTAACATGAAAAACTAATTCGCAAGAAATAACCAAATACAAGAACTTTTAACAACAAAAATTATTACATAATATTTTTTAAATAATAATTAAACTGTTCTTGAAAATAAAAACAATAAAAATTAATAACAGTCACTTATTGATATTAATGTGTGTGATATTTTAAACATTGAAATTGACTTGAATCTTTTTTAACACAATAAAAAGAACGATTTGAAAGACATCAGAATAAAATACAATCAGCCATTGAATTCTATCGACGAACAAGATTTGAAATTGCGAATTGGGAGATCTTTATTCAAATATGAAAAGTTGTTTGCCAAGCCAAACTCCCATCACAATATTTCAAGAAGTAATTTGTAAATTTAATTATTATAATTTGGTGCTTTTTGTTGTTAATGAAGTCCTCTTATTACTCATGCCAAAAATGAAAAGCGGTTATTATGCCATATTTCCTTTTCTGTTACAACTGACTAAAATGTTGTTCTCTTCTTGAGAGCTTCATTTTGGCGATGTAATCAAAAACCGGTTGTTGTTGAAATCAATTTCAAGAAAACTCAAACTAAATAAAAAACTTGTTGTTTAAAAGTTTAATATTCTTTTAATAAAATATTAAAAGAAAAATACTTTTAATATTTTCGTGTGATAGTTTGTTTGGGGTCGATCGAACTAAAATCAATTAATATTTTCCGATGTGTACAATGTCTGGGGACTGAACAACATTATCCGACCGACTATATTTATGATTAAACCTTAATCAAATGGCTATTAATTATCAAAATTTAGTATACGATCAAATGGAGTATATTATACATATACAAGTTCACAACAATTGTTTGTGAATCATTTATTAATGCATATTAATGGAAAAAATGACAATGAATCAAACCATTTAAAGTATTTAAACAAAAGTATTGATAATGTACTTAATTATTAAGAAATAGATTTGATATAAAAATCTTTCAATGTTGTAAAAATAATGCAATTGGTGTGTTGATAGTATATTTATATTCATACAACTACAAAATATTATTATAATGAATTTATTACACACAACACAGAAGTTTTTATCAACATAAATACATCAAAATTTATCCCAAAATTCACTTTTTATTACACCACAATAAAAGTCAATAGAACGCCTTCCCCATTTAGTCAGTGGAAAATTGTTTTATAAATAAACAAGTTGTTACTTTATATCAAACATTTATCATATTAACCACGTAGAATATATGCATTCAATTTTAAGCCGGCTCATTCCAAGTCGGTGAATCATGCAAATAAAAAATTTACACAATTTAAATATATGGTTCTAAATTTCCTTAAACATCAATACCACCGTCATGACTTTTTTATTGTTAAAGAGTCAATCTCGTTATTGAAATACATACAAAAGTTATTAATAATTAAATGATCAAAAGATAAATTAACATTACATCTATGGAACACAATCACGACTATTTACACATTATATTTGAATATACAAGCGATCCTAAGTATGGACATTTACATTGTCATTTCAACTCTTTTTTTCAAAAGAGTGTATTTGAATTGTTTAAATGAAATTAACAGTCATATCAATTTTATAATTGATTTACAGGTAATTGGCTCAACACACTACACAAACAACAAATGTAAATCACTCATACAAAAACGAGTCGAAATTATGACCGCCATAATGACTCATTTGAATTTATGGAGTCTTTCTTTGTTGTATAGTAGAACAACTTGAATAATGACAAAACAAGCAATTTTATGAATAACTTGTACTCAGATGGTATTATATGATTGCGGTCCATATGGATCGGGTTCATATGAGTCAAGATCAAATGAATCGGTTTAATTGGATCAAGAATTAAATAGATTATTCTATTATATTTGTTTTTTAATTATTAAAACAAAAAATAAAACAAACAAAAAAACAACAAACTTTTACCAAATATTATATTACTTGATTCCTTTTTTAGCCTTTTTCTTTGTTTTTTTGGGTTGATATATTTTTTCTTGGTTAACAGACAAGTGGATTTTCTTTTCTTTGTTTTTGTAATTGATGTTTTATCTTGTTGTAATATACTCGAACATGTCAATAAACCATTTAATTGTTCTTTATGAATAAATTCTTCTTCGTTTTCTGTGACAAGAGTTGTATACTCAATTTGTTCAACTTCATCTTCAAAAAATACCAGTATTAATCAATTGGACTTCTTCTTGTGTTTCATTTGGCTTTTGACATATTTTAAATGTTTTGAAATGGTTCTTAACAAGCTGCTTTTCATTTTCCCATTGGTAACTTATCGTGCTTTTAGTCAGACAATCAAGATACTCAAAAATTCTCACAAATTTCCTTCTTTATATTCAAGTACAATTCTTTTTATGTTTTCATTGTATTTTTGTGTACTTTGATTAACTCGTTGTTGTTTTGGTTTTGCTATATGTTCAATGTATCGTTCCACTGTTAAATTTTCGACCATTATTAATTGAGCAACCATTTTCCAAGTGTTTGAATGTGCACGATTAAATCTTTGAGAAAATCCACTATGAAATAATTCACTGATGTTATTGGTTCTATTTTCAAACAACTCAAATTGGTTCCAAAGTTCAACTTGATGCATCCAAGTGATTTAAAAGTAATTTAGAAACAGTTTAAACGGTTTTTGATAGTCAGTTTCAATGCCAAATCTTTGATCTTTAAACTTTTCAACAATTAAATCAAAAGTTGATTTAACTTCCTGATTTGGCAAAAAAACATAAACCAAAAATTCTTCGTACCCACTTTCTAAAATTCAAACTTGCGTTATAATATGGTATTAGCCCCCTTTGTCCCACACTTTTCCACAATGCTTGATAAAAGCAAAAAACAACCATGTACTTTAAAACCATGAAAATTAAATTCATTAATAGCCGCTTTCTCAAAATCAGTAACAACTGTTATACCAACTGGTATAAACTCAGAAACCATATTTAATAATGTTTTATAAGTTGTGGATTTTTGATTTGGCATTATAGTAAAAATACAAGAAAACGGTTTACCATTAACCATGGCGTGAATTGTGTATAGATTGTGGAATATTTCAGGCACATATTTATAAGTTCCATCCGCAAATATAGTTGTTGCTCGTGCAAGTATTTCTTTTTGTTTTAATGACATGAAAATATAAATATCACCACCTTCAACTTTTGAATGATTAAATAGAAAAGTTCCAAATTCATCAAACTCAGTCTTTCCCCTAAATGTTGTTGTTAGTTCTATCGGAAATTGTATATCAATTGAAGTTTGTGGATTTTTACCAAATTGTTGTGAATCATAATGTTTGACAAATGATTTGAATGCACTTTCACTTTAAAATACATCACAGTCAATACACGTTTTGAGTTGTTCATATAATTTACCTATTGTGACATCACTATGGACTTTTCTTTCTTTGACTACGAGTTCTTGTGATTTAATCCTGGTGATTGTATTTTTGCTATTTCAAACACTAAAATCGTTGTGAGCATTTTCAATCTTAAAATTGGTATCCTTTAAAACAAGTTTGCATTTACAACCATACCTTACACATATACATTCATACACATCAACAATTCCAGTGTATTTCTTTTTAAAACTTGATTGTTTAGATGTTGGCATTCTTTTAAACATCACGCCTTCATATTCGTACATTGAACATTTCATCTTGTTGTCCCACTCCCTTAATTTGTACTCTACCAATTTTTCTGTACTTAACCAAACATTCATGTTTGATTCCAACTAAAATTGAAGTTTGAAATATACTTAAAATACGAAAAGGATATTTTTTTAAACAGCCATGAAACGAATTTGTTGTTAATTAATCATTTTGTATTTTATTTGCCAATATTATATTAAATTTGTTAGTTAAATTATAATAAATTGTGTGAATAAAAAATCGAATATCAAGAAATTATAATTAACCTGTGTTAAACACCATATTAAAATGTATTTTGGTTGGGTTTTTTGGACACATTTTAGTTTAATATTTATATATTCATATTTAAAATTAAATTTTACCACCACAACAAATTTGCCAATAACAATTTCAAAAAATAATGAAACATAAATTAATATAAATCAAAAAATGGAAGTGCTAAAATAGTCTTGATCCATTGAAGCTAGATCCATATGAACCCGATCCGTTTAAACTCACACCGTATTATATATTATTAAAAAGAACAAATTTAAAAAATGAGCGTTTAAATGAAAAATAAAATATAACAATCCAAATATATTGAAAAACAGAAAAAAATATCAAGAATAGTTAAGTTGTTTGATTATTAATAATTGATTACCTCGTTCGTTTATTCTGCGTCTATTAATAATTGTCAAAATAACACAACAATAACATTTCCGTAATTATAATTTTTTGGATAAAAAATGTAAATTAAATTTTGTAGATTTAAATAAAAATTAATATTCATTGCTGTTTATCGCATTGAAATAATAGGGTCAAAAAAAATGTCAAAACATAAAATATTATTTTGAATCAGATATAACATTACTAATCCTTATTTTTGTTTTAATGTAAATGTTTGTGTTTTTAATTAATTCAAAAACAATCATTATTAATAATTAGTTCAACTGGTTCATGACCAAGTGATTTTAACATAACATAGTTTTATTTACTAATTCTCATGAAGTCAAAGATATTTTGAAATTAACTTTATTGTTTGTGTTGCCTTTTTATGATTTTTTTTAAAATGTGTAATAAAATGGTTGACTATTTTTAAATATTTCACTATAAAGCTATGTTTTTTATTTTTAAAATCATGACAATTAATTAAAAGTCAAAAAATCATAAATAAAAATCATACATTTGTATATTTATTTCATCTTATATGATCACATTTTAATGTTACTATTGTTGGCCTGTTGGCACTGAAATTTCATTGGGAAACTTTATTGAGCCCTACTGCCCATGTACAACCAATTGTTATATCGTGCCACTTGATACAATCAGCGAATTAATAATTACTGATGAATCGAAATTGATTAAAAGTAACAAAAATACTCATAAAACAATATAAAAATCGATATAGATGAAAGTGATGTTGTCGTGTTCGGGACGTTATTAGTAAGTATGGAGAGATAAATTCTTTAAATATTAATATTGAAACATCTGAAATACAGACAATTACTTTTGTGAGTATTTCATCAAATATAAGTGTTATAGTCCAGAGTCAAAAGTACTTTATATATAACAACAAACAATGCACTTATGGTGTATACACAAAAAACAGCTTTACTTGTCTGAATTATTATTCGTGTACCAACTTATATTACTCTACAACTCTATCAAAGTGTATTGAATGTCCAATTGAAAAACGTGTTTTTTGTTTAAGAACAGGAAAGTGTATTAAATGTGAAACGAATTATCTTTTGGATAGTAAGAATAACACATGTACACTATTTCATATAGACAACTGTTTGATATCTCAAAATGGAATTTGCTTGAAATGTGAAGAAGGTAAATTGTTAGAAAATGGTTTGTGTGTATCACCCAAGAACAATTGTCAGCAATTTGATATCGATGCAAATTGTTTGTTATGCGACACAACATGGAAATTGATAAATGAAGGCATTTTATGTGAAACAGTTGATATTAAAAATAATTCAAATTCACAAAGAAATATCACTTCTTGTGTTGATGGGTACTTTGTTAAAGACAACAAATGTGTGTCATGTCAAGATAAGTACAATGGAAGTTACTTATGTGACTCAATACAACCACTACAATGTAACACAACATTAAATTATGTATTGGAAGAAAATAAAAATTGTGAAAAAAGTTCGTGTTTTTTAATGGAAAATACACAGAAAGACCAAAATGGAAAATGTCTTTCTAATCAACCCAATTGTCGAATAATAGTAAATAACAAGTGTGTTACTTGTGATGAAAATTACATTTTATCAAATTCGAAGTGTCTTTCGTCCGTTGATAATTATTATGAAATTGATAACTCAACGTGTTTGCGCTGTAAACCGACATATTATATAGATGATACATCAATGTCTCAAACATGTGTAAATTGTGTTTTAAATTAAAAAACATGTCTTTCTTGTTATTCTGAATATTATCTCAACGTTAACCAAGAGTGTATGTCCAATTAAAAACTTTTTGAAAAATGTAATAAACTATCTTCAGTGAGTAGTGGGTGTGTTATATGTAAAGATGGGTATTATCGAAATGGTTTAGATTGTCAGAATCGTTTGATAAATTGTTTTACATGTAATACAGCAAATTCTTGTTTAACATATTACTCAACCAACTACATGACAGGTGACGGCTTGTGTAAACCACAAAACGAGTGACAAGAAATTTGTTCTGATAAAGTGACATCAGGTGGATGTTCACTCTGCAAAATTGGTTTTTATTTACAACATAATGAATGTTTTAAATGTGATATTGAATGTTTTTCATGTTCACAAAGTGGGAATTGTAAGTTGTGTAATGGAGAGAACGTTGTTAAAAATGGGAAGTGTTATTTTATCTCTACAGTGTCTAAATGCATTGAAATTTCCACTTCAAAATGTTCCTAATGTGCATTTTGTCATATTCCAAGTGAGGATGGCACTTTTTCTGCGACGAAAATTGTTTGGTGGGTCATATTAATTAAAATATTAGTCATCAATTTCATCTTCATCTTATTTTTCGTCTTATTTGGTGTTTCACTCTCATTAATTTTAAGATGGATGAGTAAGAAAAAGGTCACAAAGACTCAAACAATTTTTTAATGAGTAAATCAGACATTCAATTTATGTCACTAAAAAATGGTGTTTGTGTAAATCGTTCAGAAATCGACTTCAACACTGACTTGGACGAAATTCCAATTTGTGAAGAAACTCGGCAACTTCTATGTATTGGAAATAACTCAGAAAAAACAATGAAAGTTCAAATGAGTGTTTCTTCTAATGGACAGAAATTTTGATACGAACCCGCCAGTTGTTACTCTAAAACATGGATTTGCGTGTGAATTTGAAATTTTTTTTAAAGCCAAATTCACTACCAAAATATATTCAAAAGCCAAAATTGTATCAAAGTCGTTGCAAAGTGGTGTTGAAACAATCATTGAAATAACAATCAAAGGAGTCACACAAATATCCACACGACTTGATCCTGATTTATTAATAAAAGAGAAGAAAATAAGAAAAGGTAAGTTTGGTGTTGTTTATAAAGGGACTTATCGAGGAAATGTAGTTGCAATAAAAAAGATGAGAGATATAAAAACAGCACTGAACTATTTCTTGAATTTGAAAATGCAATCAACATGTTGGACAAATTTCGGAGTAAGTATATAGTCCACTTCTATGGGGCTGTGTTCGTCCCAAATAAGATATGTATGGTCACCGAATTAGCACAATACAGAAGTTTGAAAGATCTAATAAACCATAAAAAGACAAGTGAAATTGATGAGAAAATGAAATTAAAAATGATATCAGAAGCTGCTAAAGGAATTTTGTATTTACATGAAAATGGGATATTACACAGAGACATCAAGCCAGACAATATCTTGGTGATTTCTCTGGACTTAAATGATAAAGTGAATGCAAAGTTAACAGACTATGGAAGTAGAAGAAACGACATTTTATTGATGACAACATGACATTCACAAAAGGAATTTTAACACCAGTTTTTATGGCTCCTGAAGTGTTAAATCAAGAGAAGTACAAACAAGCCGCAGATGTGTATTATTTGCAATTTTGATGTATGAATGCTTTGTATTGGGAAATGAGTATTTAAAAGAAAAATTTAATTTTCCATGAAAATAGCAGAATTTGTAAATGAATGTAATCGCCTTCAAAATCCAGGTACAATAATAAGTGAGATATACACATTAATTTTCATGTGTTGGCGACAAGAACCAAAAACAGAATTACAATCAAAGTTGTTATGGAAAAACTCGAAAAAGTTATCTAAATTGATAAGAGTGTTATTAATTTATTTTGCTTGTGATTTATTGAGATGGTGATAATAACTTGTTTTATCAATTTATTGGCATCTAATTTATCTAATTTTAAGTCACATTTTCTTTCAATATTTATCCAATAACATTTTCAATTTTTCAAATTTGTTTACTTTTTATATAAATTAAATTAATTCAAAATAAAAAAACTTTTTCTTTGCAATTTTATAAACAATCAACTGTTTATTTTGTTCAAAATGGCATTGTTCTTTAGTGTTTTTAACGCGTACAAATGGGATGCCCTTTACACAATTCCATTCAAATTTTTATTTTAACTAAGTAAAATAACATGCAGATTATTTTTTTCGGTAAATATGAATTTGAGTTAATATCTGGGCTGGTTATCAAATTAAAAAACGTCAAATAATCACTCCGAGTCAGTGAAGGATGAGTGACAAACAGCATTGAAAAGTAAAAAAATTAAGTTGCACCAAATTGTTGATTATGCACTGCTTCCGCTCAAATTTGGTGTTTTTTATTGGACTTTTTTGTAAGCAGGGCAATCACAACACGATGACATAGTATGGAAAATGAATGTGGTGATATAGAACATATAAACAATAGCTGAGATGTGGACTTACTTTCGAGAAATGAGGTATATACCTAAATTGGATAAATTAGTGTGATGGAAAGGACACTCATTGTACAAATACTTATTTTCATGCAGATTTAATAACTCATTTTTATTCTTTGTTCGGTATATTTTTTATGTTATTTGTCTATTGATTTCTCGTTAAGAAGTCAATTGTATAATTTATAAAATCAATTTTTTTTTGTTTTTTCGAGTGTATTTTTATTGAATTTTAAAAATTTATCCTGTTTAATATTATTAAAAAATATAACATAAATATTACGTGAATTTTTATTGTTTTTCCTTGTTGTAATTAAATCGATTTTGAACTTTCATTGGTAAAAAAATTAAAAAATAATAATCATTAAAATTAGTCTTATTAAAAAAGTGTTAAGTTCAATTAAATAAATTATAATAATTTGAATTGATTTTGGTTAAGAATTATCATAAATACCCAATTATAAACTATATAATTAAAAAATAATTATGAGTTATTAAAATCATTTAATGTTCTTACAAGTGATTTTTATATACAATATAAAGACAATTGCTTTTTATTTTATAAATTCAAAATGTCGACTGAACAACCGAAAAAAACGATTTCAATTGGCATTGATTTCGGTACATCCAAAATTGCCATTTCATTTTGTGATAAAAACCAACACATTCAAACTGTGACTCTTAACAATGGATCATCGATCACTCCTGCATGGCTACGATTTATTAGTGACACTCCAAAATCCAAAATGTCTTTTGTTGTTGGCGAACAGGCTAAATACCCCAAAGACCAACTGAAATACGATGACACATTTTACAACATCAAGCGCTTTCTAGGTAAAACATTTGAAGAGTTGCAAGACGAGTCGGAGAGTTTGGGCTTTGAGTTTAATGAAGAAAATGGCCATGCTGTAGTTGTAGTTGGTTCTCAACAGCCAAAACCAAATACCTTTCGTCCCAAAGAAATTGCCGCTCTTTTCTTCAAAACACTGATGAACCAGATAAAAATGGAAATGCCTGATCTTGTAAGACCTAATATGTTTGTTGGTGTTCCCGTAAAGATGACTGCGGAAGCTGTTCAAGATTTGACCGAGGCTGCCAAGTTGGGTGGTTTTGAAACTGTTGATGTCATCACTGAGCCAATAGCAACAGTTCTCTATTATTTGGATGCAAACAGAGAATCAGCAGCAAAGAATTTTATAGTAATTGACATTGGTGCTGGTACCACTGACATTTCATGTATTCAGAAAAATGCAGATGGATATTATGAGTCGGTTTACTCTGATGGAAATAACGACCTTGGTGGGAACAATTTCGATGCAATTATAGCTGAAATGATCACAGAAAAAGTTCGTGAAATTGATCCTTATTTTTATATAATAAGGCCCAGTGATTTGGTTTCAGAGCGCTTGAACAAAAGGAGCCGCCTCAATATCCTCAAAAAAGTTTCTGAAGATACAAAAATTGCGTTTTCCACAAAACCCCAAGTCGAAATTGAATTTAAAAATTTATTGACAGAAAATGATATGAAAAACACTGTTTTGTTACATGAACTCAATATCAATGATACATTTAATTTACAAAGAAGTGAATTTATTAACAAAGCACAAGACCTTTTTGATGACATTAAAGATACAATTTATGGAATATTAAAACATGCAACAGTACAACTCAAAAAATTTGGAAAAATAATTTTAGTTGGTGGAGGTGCGCGTATTCCAGGTGTTAAAGAAGCTGTAACAAAGGCGATGACTAGAGTAAACAAAAATGGCAATTGTAAAATTGAAACGGAAGATAAAATGACAACAGTTTTTGAAGGTTGTGCGATACATGCATCAAAAAATTTGGGTACAAATGTTTTCAGTAACATCATTCAGAGATCGTCTTATGCAGTTGGACTCAGTGTAAGTGGTGTTTTTGAAACTTTTGTGCCAAGGGAAGTCGTATTGCCTGTTCACTTTGAGAAAACGTATGAATGTGAAAAAGGAGAGAAAGAAATTGTTTTGAGGTTTTATAAGACCGAAATTGAACTAAAAAAGAATGTTGAATACAGAACAAATTGTATGGGATTCAAACATTTAGCAGACGTTAAAATACCACCTGGCGACTCTGTAAAAATAGAAGTGGATGTCGATTTAATTGGAAACACTGCAATCAAAGCAACTCTAAGAAATGGCCAAGTGTTGAAAGGTGGTATGCTTGTTGATACTTCATCACTCAACAAAGAACTGCTTGCATTGAAAAAGCATATCGAAAACACAATAAATTTTAATTGATTTTAACATATTAATTATTATTTTAAAAAAGTTATTGTTTGTTGATATTGTCAACAATGCTATAAAATACATACAATGTATTTTTTTAAAAAAACAGTAACACATTTCTCAATAACATACAACGTTGTTGGTTCTATTTGATAACACAAGTTTTATATCAATTGTATTAAATAAAATAACATTCAAGTAAAAATAAATCAAAGAATTCGACAGACACTGTAATCCTTTGTCAAATCCCGTGGTTGTGCATTCTGTTGATATTCGAGTTGTTGTTGATACAAATGCTCAAACAATTCATCATCTTCACAAATATTACCTATCACAAAGTCAAACAACTCATTGACTCCTTCTCCCGTTTTTGCCGAACACATCTTAAGTGTGACTTCTTTTTCGCTGTTGCACAAATTTTGTGCCATTTCATGTGTGATAAGTGGATTGGCTAAATCAATTTTGTTGCATACAACAACATAAATGACGCCATTAGCAGTCGTTTGTCTCACTGTTTCAATCCACGTATTGACATCTTCAAACGACTTTGGATCGTGTGGATCAAACACAACTTGATGTTACTTCAGTGTTATAATATGGAAATAACAATAAACAAACCAAGACAAATTTGTGTATTTCTGAATATCAAATCATAATTTTGCGCTTGTCTACCTATGTGTCATTCAATGTTTGTATTACTCAAAGGGTGTTTTTTGAGTTTATCGTTATTATTATAATTATGAAAGTGACATACCTACATCCCACAACACAACTTTGATTTCTTTTTTATTGTAAACAATCTGTTTCATATTTAAGGCGCAAAAAATTGAATTGACATTTTGGTCGTGAATTTTGTTGTTTACAAAGCGCTCAATGATTGACGTTTTACCCACTCCAGCATTTCCAACAACATTTATTTTCAATGGGACAACTATTTCTTCCATTTCTTCTAACAATTTAATAGTTTTTTATTTTATAATTTGTTTTTTGAGTTTTGATATTATAAATATGAGTGATGTTTTTATTTATTACTTAACATTCATTTTATTAAATCATATCAATATTTATTCGTATTTATATACATTAAACATTGTTATAAATAATGATATAATATATTAAAACGTGATATAAACAAATTGATGCGATTTAAAACATAACAAAATCAGAATGTCAAAAACCCCAATTTTTACACATTGTATATATTGATATGTCGATTCGATAATAAATCAAACAAAACATTAATTATATACGGAAACTAACAAGTATTTTTATTTACAAATCATATTTATTCTAACATTTATATTCATTCACAATATTGTTAAATACAATAAATACATTTATTAAAAAAAACAATTGAGAACTTAAAACCAACACATTCAATAAATGTCGAGATTGGACAGTTACTCACTGATGATTGTTTCAAAATATTTTAATTCAATTTCTGATTTTATCAACGCAGAGATGGTTTGAAAAAGTAAAACTCATCAATGGAAAAGTTCCACTCAAACCCAATTCACATCACACAAAAGACAATTAAATATTTCCCACACCGAGTTTCTCAGTATTTGGTCCAAACTCGATGAATTGTTTGGTAATGAATTTATTGGAGACAATACAATAGATCTTCCACAAACGTGTTGTACATCACCAAACAACACACATAACACTAAAATATCGTTTTTGAAATACTCATTTGGTACAAAGTGTCATACACTTTCACACAACACAGAAAATCAACAAATTACAAATTCAAAAACATCTGTCTTGAACACACAGACAACAGGTGTCTTCCCAGATACTACGTGTGAATAGCATTGGTGACAAATGCTTTTACAAAAATACATTTCTCAATGAAGTGACACTTCCACAGACACTCACGACACTTGGGGAGTACTCCTTTGCAAATTGCAATAAAGTGACATCGATACTTTTATCTCACAATTTGTGTCACATTGGGAAAAACTCTTTTGAAAATTGCACTTCACTCGTTTGTGTTGTTCTTCTAAACACAATCAAAACCATTCCCACTTCGTGTTTCCAGAATTGTGTTTGTTTGTCTGTTGTGACACTTCCAAACCAGCTTGATATGGCAAAAAAAATCCTTTTGCTATTGTTCGAGTCTTGAAATTGTTGAAATACTGTTAACTACAAATTGTGTTGGGGAGTATTGTTTTCACAAATGCACTCACTAACAAGAGTGACTACCCAACACACTGTTTTTACCCTCTATGAGAAATTGTTTGATAAAAACATTGTGTTTTGCAATGATAACAACTCTTGTGAATGAGTAGTGATTATTTATGACTGTGTTGTACATAATGATATCAACATAATACTTATATAATAACCCTGTTTTGTTATTATATTTAGTTAAACCATTTTAACAACCAGCAACATCCAATACTTCAACAAAAAAACATGTTTATCAATAAAAGGAGTTTCTAATTGATAACAGCGCAAATAAAAACGATTCATATTTGCTTGTTAAAAAAGGAAATTAATAATAATTATTCTATATACTATAATATTTATTCCTATTAATTGATAAATTATATTTATTTTTTTTGCTAAATAATTAACAAGTTGTTGTTATTAATAATTCCATACAAATTCAACGATATAATTAATGATGTTTTCAATTGACAATTTGTTAATAACAAATAACTGTTAAATAGAAATAGATGTTAATTTCTAATTGACTTGAATAATGAATTCTTATTTCGTTTTAATGTTTTAGAGTTATTCAATGCACAAAATATATAGAGAATAACCAAAAGTAATAAACACAAAACATACCACATGGCTGAAACATCAAAAATCGAATTTGCCTCATTGGAACCGACGCTGTTAGACCGAATCTTGACACGAACATATGGCACGGTATATCCAACAGCTGACCAAGTGACTGCAATCAACACATTCACCACCAAAATCAACTCGATGTATGCCCATACAACAAGCCATGCAAATTTGCGCTTCAAATGGAAGACTTCAGTTAATTCCGTACGTTTGGGTTCATCACGGGCTCGAAGTATTCGATCTTCGGTGTGACGGGGAAAAACGACCGGAACAACGACTTCTCGTATGGGTATCTGATGCACCTGCATTCTGGAATGCACCCGCCTCGGCCTCAAGACGGTGTGGTTGGGTGGGACATTCACGACTTCCGTCTTTACTGCAATTCAGTACAACTCGTCGACTGATTACATTCCATGTGTCTCTCCAATTGGAAACAGTGGCAATGGCAGTGAACTCATATCTATAATTACAGGCTTGTATAAGAGAAAAAAGTTAAGCGAAATCATTTACATTGAAATTGCAGGGACTAAATACAACAAGGAGAACGCACTACAGAAGTTCACTCTTAAAATACTTGAAAAAATCAGATTTGCACCAAGTGCTTCGAACAAACAGGAGTGGAGAATTGTTATCAGCGAGAACAAAATGCACTTCTTTGGAATCAAAGGAAGTTGGACAGCACTCGACATGGGCATCTGCACCGCACATGCACAAGTCGCGTTGGCTGGAAATAAAGTAGAAGGAAAGTTTGAAATTGAAAAGCCGGAGATTTGTGTGCCTGGTGACTGAGAGTACTTCATCGCATTCACAGCAACTAACTGATGTAACAAATTTATCTTTTTATCATCTTTTTGTCATTACATTCAAATTTTATATTTTGTTCGCATTACAAAGAAAAGATGTATGAAAAAAGACTGAAACGTTTCATTGTGTGAATTTTTTGTGACTTTTGAAATGCAGAACTAAAACACAAAGAACATTTATTTTGTAGTTATCCCAATGATTGGATGTAACTCCCTCACAACTATCTCAGGCAGCGCGTTCTTGTATTCAACAAGAACATCCTTTCCATTAACCCCGAATTTGAGTACTGGCGGTTGTGCCATTCCGGCTACTATCCCCATCACTTGGAAGTGAATAACGCTGTCATTCTTCGGGTCAACATGAACAATCTTTCGTATAAATTCACACACACAAACCGCTTTTGTGTTTTTTATTAAGAACTTGAATCTCGTGGTGGTCTTTAATGCCTCGCAAATGAGTAAACACATTTATGACTCAATATATATTAATGACTGGCTTGTCAAACACAACATTTATCTACTATTATAAAAAGATATTATTATAATAGTTTATTTTTATAATTTATTTTATTAACATAAAAAACACAAAATTATTTAAATACTGAATAACATAATACTTTTTTTTACATCTCTAATTACTATAATTATATAGTAAATTTAATAATTTATATTAATTGAGGTAAAATAACAGTTGTATAGTTTAGCAATTTTGCAGATATAACTCTATTATATAATGATTTTTATAATAAGATTTAGTTTTTAGCTATCATTTTGCCAACCAGAGTAGTAACGTAAAATACAATACAAAAAGACGGATGAAATCTAATTTGTAAAAAGTACAACATGGAAATAACAGTTACACAACTTGTTTCTCAACTTGAAAAGGTAAATGAATTAACAAAAAAGACTCCGATTTATGAACAAACATCTTTTAAGATGGCAAATGAAGAGAAAGCAATAACAATTGACCAAAGAATCGAAGTCTTGGAAGGTAAGATAGACAAAATGGATGAATTTTTATTTCGAAGAGATCTTCTTGTAAATGAAATTGACAAAGCTTTAAACCTTTTAAATTCGATTAAAACCGATTATGAAACGAGAAAAACAAGATTGGAAAAACAAGGAGATGATGACTATGATGAACTTGTATTACAATTAATCGCACTAGAAAAGAAGAAAAATCCAGTTGGTTCGATTTTAAATAATGGACAAAACCTCAGAGTCAAACAACTTCAAAATCAATTGATAAATAAACACTTTTTGGATGATACAATTACACAAGAAGAAATGCAAATAATTGAAAAATGGACTGGATTGAAATTTGAGAGTAAAGTGTTTGATTCTGATAACGACTGTTTTTTTATTGATAACAGCGTTTTTAGTCAGAACATTTGTGGAAGAAAAAATCTTGTGTTTTTAATAGAATATGAAGACGGCGATAAATTTGGAGCAGTCATATATGACGAGATATCTTTACAAAAATATTGCAATTCTCCATATGCATTCTTGTTTGGATTTGATTATAAACATAGTGAGTGTAAATGGGTTAGGCCCAATTTAACAAATAAGGCATTCTTTTGTAATAATGATAATTCAAAAAACCTTTTTAAAGTATTTGATGTACTTTATATTAGAAAAGAAAACAGTGAATTGTATCACAAAGGAGCTTCCACGTTATATCATCTATTGTTCGGTAATAACAGGAATAAAAAGAGGCGTTTTTTGATGTCAAGAATGACTGTGTTTCAATTGGTTTAATCCAATTTTGATAAAATGTTGTGTTTTGTGATATAAAATGTTTTCTTTGTCATTTTTATATAAAATTGATAAATCACTTTTTTATTTAAAGTGTATACATGAAATTAACACTATAATTATAGTATATAAGTAAATCCTTTGACCCTACTGCCGCAGTCTTTTCTTTTCGATTTCCTTTTGATGTAAAAATGATTAAAATTAATTATTTAACACAACAATAATCAATTAAATACAACAGAACTTAAATTATACCTTTTATGTACATTAGGAGGAAATACAGGGTGCTAAAAAAGGAAGATACTCACAACTATTAATTATTTTAAAAACAAAAATATAATTAATAATTTAAATAAATAATAAAACGAAAAGCACCAAAATAAAATAATAAATAGATGAGCGTACTTCTATTTTTCGGTATTTTACCTTTTCCCTTGACTGTATTACAAATTATTAAACTAGAATAATAAATTGTTGACTATGAAATAATTAAATGACTATATGTTTAAACATATATTTATATTTACATATTCTCAAATAAGAAACTTAATTATTTCGTACAAAACCCACTAAATTCTTTTGCCATAACTTATTTACTTTGTTTTTAAATATAATGATAATAAAATTAATGACTCAAAATTCAAATATGAGTTTTTGTCACAATTCAAAGTTTTGTTTTTTTATTTACCTCATAATAGGTATAAAATGTCAACAAAACAAAGAAAACCAAAAAATGTGCATACAGTTAGATAAATATCATATGATGGTCTGTGTGAAATACTTTAATACCATCAACAATTTCATCTCCTTTGCTCAAGTTAACAAAAAGTGCAAAGAAGTGCTTTCAATGTTTTTTTATAATCCACTTCCCATCAAAAACACAAAAATATTCGACAATATGACATATCAAATTTTATATAACTCAAACGACACAACCGTTCCCCACGTGGAGAAGTTTATTAATTTTAAAGTTGATTATGAACAATATTTGAATGATAAGAAATTCAATTTGAAATTTAAAAAGGTTTGTTTGGGGTCTTCCAGTTTTACAAAACGTCTTAATGAATTACTTCAAAAGGATCCAAAATATGATATACCAAAAGAAGTCAATTTTCTTAGGAAATCGTGTTTTGAAAACCAAATAAATTTGACTGAAGTCGTATTGACAAACTCAATTAAAATAATCCTACAATATTGTTTTGATAATTGCCAAAAATTGAAAAATATCTCCCTCCCACTTTCTGTCAAGAAAATATGTTATGGTACATTTTTAATTGTGTTAGTTTGACAACTTTTCTTATCCCAAATACAGTCGTAATCTCTGAGGCCATATTCAATGAAAACAATTCAATTTCTACTTTAATATTGTACCCAGACACTAATATCACAGATTATTTCTTTTCAAAATTTATAATGCTCAATTCTTTGATATTTAGAGGATCAAACAAAATCACTCAATTTGTCCCTTTTAGGTTCCAAGAAGTGGTTAACAAAGAGTGTAGCAATGTCACACTTGAAAATAACGATTTACAAAGACTTCTTTCTCTTGAATTAGCTCGTAATATAGATGGGAATATGGTGTCGTGTTCAATACCTTTAAAAGTGAATTCTCTTCATCAACAGGCGTTTATGAACTGCTATTTCCTTAGTAACATACGTTTATCAGACAATATAACCTCGTTGGGAGAAGCTTGTTTCATGGGATGCGATTCTTTGGTATCATTAATTCTTCCTCAAAAACTCGTCGAGCTCCAAAATTGTTGTTTTCAAAATTGCACGAAGTTGACACGTGTTAAAGTACCAGATACAGTGACTTACATTGGGGATAATTCCTTTGAAAATTGCGCTTTAAAAACATTTGATTTCCCATCCCAAACAAATAGAGTGTCAAAGAGTTGCTTTCGAAATTGTATGAAATTGGAATCAATAACATTTAAAAATTCGACACACAAAATTTCTTATTGTTGTGCAAAAGGAGCAACAAACTTAACACAAATTTTCGTTCAAAATACCAATGAAAATGCTCAAACGTTTAAAGATGAAGGATACTTTGTAAAACAATTATTAATCAACGGCGGAATGCAAAATCTGTTTTATTGTTTTGACAGAAGTAATTTTAAAGAGTATAAATCATTATATCCCGCTTACACTCGATCAGGTGAAATAGTCAAATTGGTTTTAAAAAATCTTGAAAAACTTAAAAGGAAATGCTTTACTGATTGTCCTTTGGAATATATTGATTTGGATGGGAATATTGTGACTATACCAAGAATGTGTTTCACTTTAAATATGCTTACGTCTATTAAACTTGGTGACCGTAAAAACTATTGAAGCTTATGCTTTCAAGGGGAATTACGAACTTAAAACAATCGAAATGCCCAAAAATTTGGAAGTGGTGCAAAGAGATGCGTTCGAGCATTGCACTCAACTTGAAAAAGTCGTTTTTAATGATAAAATAAAATACTTAGGAAGAAGAGCATTTTATTATTGCAAAAGTTTGAAAGAAGTAATTTATCCAAAAAATAGAAAGGTGCCATGAGTCTACTTTTGACTTTTCTGGAATCAATAAAGATTGTGTTTTGAAAATGGTAAAGGTTATTTCAGACAAGTGATTGTTTACTTATTATTTACAAAAAAGTTTTATCAAGTCAATCGTTTATAAAGTCTCTAGTATAACAACTTTTTTAAAGTTGTATTACTTCATAAACAAGCAATGAAAAATACATTCAACATCTCCAATTTGGCAAATTTAATATTATAATTGTAACAACAGAAAATTTTAATTATTGTTAATTGAATATTTAAACAATTTTTAAATTAAAGAAATAAATAAAACACCACAAGTCATAAACCACTTTTTTGACTCGCAAAATACACTTTCAAGCGAATAACATTTAGCAAAACACTATTTCCCAGCTTTTTAATACGTTATGAAAGTGTCACTCTCTAATGTTTCACAATTGAAGAACACTTTATCTTCTACACACATTCTTGTCAACTGTAAACTCTTAAATAAAAGATCCACCAAAAGCATGAATGCCAATAAAAATGACGTTTGTTCCAAAAATTCAGAAAAAAAATACATTTACAAAAACACGTTTTTGAAATCACTCAAGCAGGTCTGGGAATTTTATTACTATAAATCTCATACATTGATTAAACACCCAATTACTAAGGTGTATAAGATGTGGCAGCAATGCAATTTATGTGATATTATAACAATAAGAAAACACAAACTGAGATATTTCGATAATCAAGTTTGGAAACGGTATTGAAGTCCCAAGACATTTTTTGAATGAACCGTCTTATATTTTCCTCATGAATTCTGTAATTTAAGTGTTAAAAATAGTCGGATTTTTTGTATAAACAGCAAGAGGACACTCATTGATATTCTTAATTTGTATCAGACACTCTTTGAGACCTTTTTAATAACTTAAGAAGATTTTTTTTTAATAATAAGTTTTATATCAAAAATGTTATGAATTATTTATAGGGTTGAATGTACTGAAAATTTTGTGTTGTATTGAAGTGATATAATTTGGATTTATTGAAAAAACATCAGCATATATATATACGTTATACAAACTAATATATATACAAAAAAATCCCTTATGTCTTTAAATAAGTCACCACAGTTTAATAAAATCACATCAGTGCGCTTTAGAGTGTGTATTGAAA